GCCCTGGGAGGCCCCCTATTAAGGTTGCTGGAGCCAGCCCAGGTACTGATCCCAGCCTCCCCTTCTGCAGCTGGGGCAATTTGCCACACACCCGCTGCTAGCCCCATGCTGAAGCACCTATGTGCCCCTGCCAGCCCCTCTGCAGTACATTAAGCCTGGTTGGAGAAGCCCTGGGCTGGCAGGCTTACCCTCTGGGCCTCATGTCAACTATGGCTGCTCCAACCTGGCTCAGTGTGCTGCTGTCCAGGGGCATGTGCAGATGCACTCCTAGCAGCAATAAACTTCAGAGTGGTAAGTTCTGAAGCTCATAGGCAATGTGTGGGGGAGCACAGGGGGGGCACATGCCCCCCCTGCGATTGGCCCTTGCCAGCTGAGGAGTGCGGGTTGACAGCTAGTGCTCCCCCTGAGAATGTGGGAGTGCCGAGAGAAGCGCTGGTGTTACTTCTGGGTTTGTTGCTGGCAGTTCTGGTGTGCCAGTGGCACTTCTGCAATTGGCTGCTGCCCCCCCGCCCCCCCTGCAGTCAGCAATTAGCCGCTGGGGGACCCCTAGGAACAGAAGGCACTAGTCGCCCATGCTGGAGCTTATTGCTGCATGTTAATGGGCATGTGTAGATGCACCCTGGAGGAAAACAGGAAATTCCCTGTATAAACACAAGAGTGTTAAAAAACATTCATGGGACTCCGCTTAGGTTTAGGTGGCTTACTTGAAGCTGCCTAAACCTAAACTGGGAGTGGTGCATGCAGGCATTCACTGCTGCTGAGATTAGCACAGATACCAAAAGGTAAGTAACTCAGGTAGGTGGATGCGCTGGTAGGATTGGAGGATGCGAGGAGAGGCAAGGGGGGTTGGTAGGTCTGTGAGGTAGGGGGTAGTTTGGGGATGAGTAAGCTGGGCACTAAAAATAGCCCAGTTAGGGACAGGATAGAGGTAGGAAAAGAACAACCCGGGGGCTGGGGTGAGTGGCTGGGCTCTGGGGCTATATTGTGAATGCATACAGGCATTTGCTAGACCCAGTTAACCTATTTTAGATCAGGTTAACTCATGTTGATCTAAAGTTAGTTCCCTTCTTCAGGAGAACTAACTTTAGATAAGGCATATTTTTGTGGAGGGGGGCAATTTAAGCCCTGTGAATGTCTGCACACCTGTGTATTTAAAGCTTGTATATACCCAAAGAAATCTTAGTCCCACAGACCGTGAACACCCTGTAGATGACCTTCCCCACTATAATCTTTTTTCTAGAAAAAGTGGAAGTAGGCTGCCCATCATCATCTTCCAAGACTTCCTTACTGCCAGATGAAATGTGGAGTCTCCAGCTGCTATTCCCTGCTAGGGGAAAAGGGCAACTTTTAAATTTACTTTGCTCTTGTTTTTGACCTGCCTGTACCTATTGATATAGATTCACTAAGTCTCCAGTGCAGAGGTGCATACTTTTTAAACACATGCTATTTAATATTTATTATGTAGCTATTGAATAATTTAAATGCCAGGGGGTAGACTGTCCAACTCCTGCTTATGCTGAATAGCCTTATACTCCTCTAGCATTTCCCTTGACTACTCAAAGAACAAGATATTACTCAGTGGCCACATCTACACATGTGCTTAACTGTAGAGTAGACTGATTAGCTGCAGAGTAAAGGGTCACTGTCTACACATGTGGTAGTATTAGGCTACACTAAACTAATTAATATTGCAGTAAAATAGTACTGTTGAGGACAGTAGTATTTCACGCTAGGGTAATTTACTGTGATTAAATGCATGTGTAGATGCTGACCATGGGTGTAAATTACATCTGGTGGGCCCAGCCAGCCAGGGGTCAGATTCCTGCTTGTCACCTAGCCACACAGCTCTGCATTTTCAGCCAGCCCTGATGCCTGTACCCCCTGCCAGCCAGGCCTGCTCTACCCTGGCTCAGATTGCTGCTGTCCCAGACACACATGTAGATGCTGCACATGGGATTAGATTACTCTGGCTCAAACTCCTCCTGAGTCTATTGCTTCACATTAATTGCACATGTAGATGCACCCAGGGTGAATAAAATGTGGAAAAACCCAACTGTAATTGGGCTTACTCATATATACATGACCCATTTGTACCTTTTGAAAATATATACGTAATATCACGTTCACCATTGCATAACTATTTAATTCCCTTATTATTAAACAGCTCAATTTAATTGCTAAGAAAACACTGCATCATACAGAACTGAAAGAATAATGATATGAGAATTAACGAGATCAACATGTCCTTTTAAAGAAATATAATATGTTCTAACTGTGCAGCACATGTGGTGTTTAACATGGCTGGTTATGAAGATGTCTTGTTTCTAGGAAGCAGCTATTATTTGAAATTTAGTTTAAATTTAGTTTTAAATATCACTTTCATCATGTGCATAAGGGCCTTTTGCAACCCCTTCTGCAAAAGCTGACAAAGAGATTTAGGCCCTTAACTCCTAAAAAAATCAATAGGAATTAGATGCCCAAATACTTTTGAGGATGTGGGTGTCAATAATATCATGGGGAAACAGAACATATTATACAGGTGAAAGCAGAATTTGCTTCTCGGACTCTAATAATGCAAACACGTAGACATGAATAGTTTTACACACACTTGAATAGTCCTTTTGGATTCAATGTGCTATTTACATGTATAAAATTACTTGTCTAAAGTGCTTTAAGATGAGCCCTAAAACTGTTGGACAGTTTGGTGTCCTGAATCAGTACTGTTTAATGAACTTATCTAATTGTGGGATAAGAACAATGGGTAGACACCAACGCTATTTATATATGTGGAGGGGAGGGTAGAGACATTTTAATTAGAGTGCTTCTCAGACTGCTACTCTAATTAAAACAACTCACTGTTACATGTATTAGGCCCCTGTGCATTTCAAAATAGCTGCAGGATGCATTATCTAAAGCTCATTCAACAAGGTTTAGATAAAGCAACACCACAGACATTTTGAAATGCACGTGGGCTTAATGCATGTGACAGTGAGGTGACACTGGAGCATTCTAATTAGACCATGAACAAGCATGTCTATAGGTACCCCAACATAAAGGTTAGCCTTGCAAAGCTGAAATGTGGAACAGAAATAATGAAAAGCAAGAAATAGCACAACTCTTTTTAAATGAGAGAATATTTAATTTTTAAGCATAAATAAAAGAACTTTATCTTCATGATCCAATGTTTCTTATATCAATCATTTACTAATGAAAATGAAATATAGTAAGATCTACATAAGATGGAGGCAAAAATGAAGGACATTCAAAAGATATGGCAACAGCTTGTCAAGTCAATTTATTATAAAGAGTGTAGAAACTTCTTAGGTAGTTTTAAGCCTAAAATCAAGTACTCACCATTCTAAGTATGACACAAAAATTGTAAAGAGAACTTGAAAGGAAGGCTTAGAAGCAAAGGGAAAAAAATGGAAAACAGTGAGACAGCAAGTAGAGAAAGATTCAAAACTGCCATTTTCTCACAATGTTTGAAATTCAAAGCATCTCAGCATTAAAAAAAGGTTTAGGCCTCCCTCACTTCATGCAGATAAGTTTGAAAATGGGACCCCAGTGCCCACTGAAGTTTCAGAAACCAAATTCTAAATAAAAAACATGGACTCAACTGGTATAATTTTGAAAAATCTCATTATTTCCAAGCTAGTTTTTGGGGGCCTTAATCATAATTTTTTGGTTACATGGAGTCAGCAATAATTCATTCAGTATAGTGTTGCAAGTAGGGCTTCGCTTTTGTGTTTGTGGCTACCTTCAGATTCGCTCCATTGGAAGTCATGACCCATTTTCTCTGCTTCCTCCCAAGACCTTGGATCAAATTTTTGTGAATGCTGTAGACACCTGTATGTATGGAAAAGAAACTTTTGATTCTGGAAATTAAATCTCAAGCGAAAGCTGATATTTGGTGCCAGTCCTATGAGAAACAACCTCAGTACATAATGGAAAGATTAGACTTCTGTAGGCGGTTTTTCTACCTAGAACAGAAGCAGCAAGTTTGGCTGTTTTCCGAGGCTGATATCCAAAACTAATTGAAATTGATGGGTTTCATTCCATAGATTTCTTCAGATTCTGGATCAGGTCCTAAATAGACTGAAATGCCTAATCCTGCACTGTGATGATAAATGATTCTTTTCCACTTAAGTCTGAGTAAGAATCAAGGCTGAACTACTGTGGTTTTGCAGCATCAACAGCCATTAGATCAAAAGACTGGATTAAAATACAAATACTTTGGGGAAAAAACAAACAAATCTTGTACAATTTTTTAAAAACAAAGATATGTTGCTTTTAAAGCATTCCAACATGTAGCACAACCCCCCCCTTTAACATTACAAACACAAAAACAGCAAGAGGATTTCTATCCTTAGAGATTCATGTTTTAAAAAAACATTATATTGTAGCACAATATGGTTCTGACTGTGCAACTTTTTACTTGCACATGGACCCAAGCAGCATGTGGAGACTTATTTTTTGTAATTTACCTTAGCACAGAGACCCTGTGTGGATGTAAGGATCCCACAGTATAAAACAGGCTTCCGGATCAGGGTTTCAGTTAGTATTTAAGGTGTTTTTGTAATCTAATGTTCTTTGCTACTGTGTAAAATGCTGCGCTTGGATTTATTCATTAATGAAAAAACTCCCTTCTGCACCAATTTTTATTCTGTCTCTAAGCGTAAATGTATCGTCAGGTTGGGGATGATCCTGCTTTGAGCAGGGGTTGGACTAGATGACCTCCTGAGGTCCCTTCCAGCCCTAATTTTCTATGATTCTGTGATGCTAGGTTTTGTCTGAAAACGTAGCACTGTGGAGATTATGATGCACAAAACCAGAATTATACATGGGAAATAAATTCTCTGTTTGGGTTTTTTAGCGCTTCAGATTTTTTTTTTTTTAATTTACCCCCCAAACCTAGAAATTTATGCGAATAGTCCTTCTGAGTTCACTGAAACAGCTCATTAGCGCGGCTACCCGTACTAGCGTCTGAAAGAAAATGATTCTGATCAAGATCCTCAAACTGGCTTCATGCCAATTGACCCCTTTGAGGATTTTTGTGTGTGTGTGTTTGTGTGAAAAGATTTGCTTTCTCAAAATGCCTTTTAAACAGAAAATGGCTTTGACCAGGGCTGTTTTAACAGCAGTGCTGCGGGAGGAAGCCTAGCTGAGAAATAAACTTGTTTTCAGGCAGCTGCCAGTTCACTTCTTTCTGGTTTCCTCCAAACCTCACTTTTAACTTGGGATGGCTTCATTTTTAGGCTTCATTTGGAAGGGACGGAGTTCAGTGCTGGGAACACTCTTGCAGCCTTCCAACAGGGAAGGAAAACATGAGCAAATCGTGGACGGCTGCTCGGGAGAGCTCAACTTTCTTCTTCCAAAGGTTTCCTTGTGGTCCCGTCCCCTCCTTCCTTCCAAGATTTCTTTCTCCCCTAACGCTCCGAATTCCTCCTTCCCTTCTGGTCCTGCTTTCAGCCCTAATCGTTACCCTTTGCTTCTCTTCGCACCCTGCCTTTTGCTTCAGAGAGACCAGTCATTATTATCCTTTGCTTGCCCCCCCGCTCCTTTTGCTTCAGACTGGCTGGCTGAAGCAGTGGCTTGCGTGTGGGGCGGAAGGGGCAAGAGGGCCACTCCTAACCTGCCCCTTCCATCTCCCCTCTGCGGGCTGTCCCAAGCCTGAAGTTAGGTCCGGAAGCAAGCGCAGGGCTTGGGACGGGCTGGGGAGGAGGGTGGAGGGAGGCCCATTTCCAGGCCCGGATTGGCTCCGGCCCCGCACGTGAGGCTGCACTCGCGCCTCTGGGCTGGCGGCTGGTAAAGCTCAGTGTGAGCCAGGCGGAGGCGGGAGCCAGGAGCCGGAGACTTACCAGAAGCCGCGGGGTGGCAGCTGCGGCGGCAGAGCGCGGGAGCCCGGAGCCGGAGCCGGAGGGGAAGGCAAGGCAGGTCGGTCGGTCCCGGAGTTGCTCCGGTGGCGGCGGGGGCGGCGCGGTGCTTCCCGTGCAAGTTGGCGCCGGAATGCGGGGGGATGCCCCGGGGCTGGGCTGCTGCGGGCCCCAGAGTCAATCGTGAAGCCTGTCCCTTGGCATCCCGTCCCGGTAAGGGCTTGGACGGGGGTTGTGCCGAGGCAGCCTCATGTTGGCTCCGGCTCTTCCAGGACGATCCCGGGTGCGCGGGGAGCCGGGCGAGGGCCAGAACCCGCTCCCGCTCCCCCTCCGGCCGGGCTCGGGCTCGGGCTTGGGCTGGGGCTGGGGAGCCGGATCGGCGGAGCCGGATCGCTTGGGAGGAGAGTTGCCCCGCCGGCTCCCGGGCTCCCAGCGCCGCGTCCCGGCTCCTCCCTCCCGCCGGCCGCTTCCCCGGGGGCTCTGCCCTGGCTGCGGCTGCTAAAGTTTTGGCGGCTGATACGTGGGACCTGAGGCATGTTGGCACCCGGGCCTGCGGGCGGAGGCTTTGATCAGAGGTTTCTCCCTCCTCCCCCTCCCCTGTTAACTGGAGATCCTGCGTTATTACTCAACAAACGGGTCAAGGGAGTTCTCCCCCCAAGGCTTCTGTGCCAGGAGCAGGACAGCAGAGAAACGCGGAGTTGCTTTGCGCCCCCCCCCCCTCCCCCCATCTCCAGTTGGGGGCTTCTTCGCGCAGCTCAACAATCCTTGCCACTTTGGACATTGTGATGTTTCAACAAAAGTCACCTTGAGCGGCCACCGAATAGTCCCCCGTGATGTTGCCCTGTTGGGCCCTGTTTGTTTCTGATGCCATTCAGCCAGGAGATGGACCAAGAGTTAGCTGCCCTCCCAAGTTTGCTTGTCTTTAAAGCCCATTTCCATGTTGTCCTGTACTGTAACAACGGGTGTGCAGGTCCAAGGCACTGCAGGGGTGCATCCCTGAAAAACCCTGTCATTCTGCTCCACCCCTCTCCCCTTTTGTCTTCTCTCAAAAGAAACAGATTTCCTTTTATGGTTGGCATCATTTGGATAGCTCTCTTTAATCACTATCCCCTGTAAGTCCCAATTTATCTTTCAGGAACTTCTTCAGTTTATCCCTTGTTTTTTTTGGAGGCAGGGAGAGTCCCATTGCTTTTGATTGTGGGAATCGGATCAACAGTCAACACACGCTGCCCCCAGCTACTTCAATACACTTGTCTTCCAGGAGTTGCAGTTCATGGGATGCAAACAGTACTGGCATCTCTTTACTATTCTCCTGTTCAGCATCTTTAGACAATAGACCAGATCCTTCCCCTCCCTTCTGAACTGAAGGCTAGGCATTGCATTATTTTGATTCTCCTCTAGTAGCTATATCAAGTCAAGTCTGCGGCACGTAGCCATAGAGTAGGTCACTGTGACCTCCCATCTCTTTTCGCCCATTTAGCTCTTATAGGAGAGAAACAGAGCAGAGAACTTCTACCTGGGCCATGGGAGACTGAATTGGCAAGAGTCAGGGGTTTCTTTTCCACCTCTGCAGTCTTTCTATGTTTTCACCATGGTGGAATTACAAGTTGAAGCAACTATTATGTCTCTCTTTCACCTTGGAAAGAGTCACAAAGAAAACTCTTGCGATGACTGTTTTCATTGATAAGCCAAAATGGGAAGCTGATTCCATTTTGCCAAAGTGAGGTAGCTGCTCCTTGAGCCTAGGGAGGGATGAGTGCGGATGTAGAAACCATTGCCTCTAGGAATTAGTCCAAAAATCAGATTTCCTCAAGTGCTGATTAATCTGTTTGCCTGCTAGAGAAAAGGGCTTTTAAAGTAAAGTAGTTTAGGGCCTTAGGAAATAGTCCACAATAGGTTATGGGAGAGCTATTCCTCACCAGCTCCCCTCCTAGATGTTACTGTGAGCCTTTGTAATTCAGTTTAGTTTGAAAGTCATTTAAGCTAAAGAGCAAACATGTCCATTTTTTATTGTGTCCATGTAGGGAATAAGTCCAAAATTGCTCTTGCACTTTAATTTCACACCTTGCCTTATTTTGCAAAAGCTTCCCCATGCAGACTTTGTTCCTCTGTGACAAATTAAGTTACAGCAAACTAGAGTCACTGTACTTCTGAATGAGAAGAGCCACGGAGGGGATTTAACATGATTTAATTTACGTGCATTGATTTCACATCTTCATTTGTTTCATCTTAACTTTCCAGAGCGTTTCCCCAGTAGACTTGGTCTTTGCATTTACAGTTGTTTGCATTTAAAACTAAACAACTAACTGGCAAGAAAGCAGATGATGATGATGTGTATTATGACAAGGCCAGAAATAAATAAGGGTTACCCACCCCCCCAAATATTCTTGTGATCTTCAGACTCAGTGTAGCAAAGTTCCCTACAAGGAAAATTAATTTCAAAATCCTTTATTTTTTTTAATAATTGGCTGGCTAGGATATTTTTATGGTATACTTTGATTTGTAGTATTCACTGACACATTTCCTCTTATGACATTTTTACATTTTTTATATTTTGTGGAGTTGAACTTTGTAAATAAGTGAAATGTTATCTAATAAATGTTTAGTTATTGTATTGTTGTTATCTTTAAGAAGTTACACTCAGGAGCTCAGAGAATGAGGGCATTGTTTTAGTTTTACTCTAAAACGAACAAGATCCATTGTCTCCATGGAATATATTTGGCTTCCATAATGTGGTGAATAAATTCTGTACTGTGCTGAATCTAGAGAGAAATAGCTAAGATTACTTCTGTCAATCTGATTTTTGGTGTATTATGGAGCTGTCAAAGTAACAGTAGATTTGTTCTTTTTCTTTCTCTTCCTTTCTTTTGCAACTAGAGCAATTGCACTTCAAGGAGGTGTCCAGGTAAGGTAATTATTGGCAGTGTTGAATAGGAATGTCTGCATCCTGGTTTGATACGGCTTTTCCTAGGGTTTGTCTTAGAAGAAGTAGAGGACTCTCTCTTATTCCTGGTATCACAGTCCACACACAGGAGTTTTATAGATGGGTGATGCTGTCTTCCCCATGTATACCAATAGTTTCTTTAATCCCTGTTCTTAGAATGAGTCTTTGGCATTGGTGTGAGGTTCAAGGAGTAAGAGTGTGGAATCGCTTACTAAATCTTTGTGTCTCGAATCAGATATTCTGAAGAGTTCATAAATCCACTTGGATGGTGGGCTGCTAAACACTGATCCTACACATGTGAATTTAAATTAGGCAGTAAATCTTCTGCACTAACTTTTTTTCCCCAGATAGCCGAATAATTGAGAGCTAGATACACAGCCTAAGGGAAAAGCCAAGATCTTATCAATGCTAATAGATGTCAGTTAATTTTTTACTAGTTTGTTTGTGGGGTTTTTTTTAAAGAAAATCATAGAAGTAGATTTAAAAAAAATAGGATACAACTAACCAAATATTCTGCAAATGGGCATTGTATTCTGAATAAATTCTCCAGACGCCTTACCTGTAGGGCAAGCCTTACTGCCTTACTCCCAGAAATGGCAGCTATTTCTGATTTTTTCTAAGATGCCATATCAAATGACTTTTGATTTCTCAGGAAGGACAGGTTCTGTGTATTTTCAAGATTATATCTATATCTATATTGATTAATTGATCGATAGCTATAGATATACTGTATATAGCAAAAGTAAAATTTTGAAGGACATTCAATAGACAAGTTTATTAAAGCAATATAATCTAAAATAGTTTAGTTGTTTCTTTTTGCAACTAAACCAAGTATTTGAACAATAGCTCTTCCTTTAAAGCCTTCTATGAATAAATGATTTAATTTGGTATTTAATGAAGGTATGCTCCTTTCTCTAATACAGGGGTGGGTAAAATATGGCCCTTGGGACGGATTTGGCCTGCCAGGCCATTCTGTCCAGCCTGCGGGCCCCCTAAAAAAATTTAGAAAATATTTACCTGCTTCTGGCTGCCTGTCAAAGATGACAAGAGCCAGGGGCAGTAGGACCCAGGGGGAGCAGGAGGCAGGAGCCCAGCCCCATCCACCCTCAGCTATTTCCCTGTTTCCTGCCCCTGCCCTGCTTCAGCACCACATGGCTCCTGGCTGCAAGGCTGGGCCAGGCAGCACTGTCTCACACCAGTACAGGGGGTGTGCATGCACACAGGCAGGGGCAGTGTGTGTGTGTGTGTGTGTGTGTGTGTGTGTGTGTGCATGCATGCATGTAGGCAGGGGCAGTGTGTATGTGTATGTATGCATGTAGGCAGGGGCAGAGTGTGTGTGTTTGTAGGGTGAGTCCCACATGCACACCCCACCATACACATGCATCCACACACACTCACACCCAAGCCACCCCCCCCACACCTCATGTATCCATACAGACATCCGCATGCTCCCTCACCCTGCATACCCACACACCCACAGCCCCCTACACAACTATACTCACCCCCCAACATGCAAGAGTAAGACTTAATTTTAAGCTATTATGCAATCATCTCTATGCACACTACACAAACACAAGTGAGTCAGGGCAAAAATATTTTTTGAAATTAAATTAATCAATGTTTTAGATATTTGCATTTTGGAATATATTTTGGTATTTTTCTGGTTCCGAGATGGCAAAACCTCTTGCTGAAAAGAGTATTTCCGGGGGCAAGGGGAGAGACTTCTAGTGGCAAAGGTCAGGAGCTAGGGGGTGGGACTTCTGGTTCCAAGATGGTGACCAGGGGGCGGGGCACCTGTCAAGGGGCGGAACTACCATGTGGCCCTCAACAGCTTGCCAGAACTCGGTAAGCAGCCCTCTGCCCAAAATAATTGTCCACCCCTGCTCTAATATGTATATACTGTTGCAGCTCCAATTAATTTTGGCACAATTTTTTGTTTGTGATATTCCTTGTTTCTCTTTGTCAGACATTAAAGTTGAAATTACGTTTTACTTCATTCTTAAGTAGATTCTTTCTGTAATTGAATAGGGGGCCATGTCATGGGATCCATGACGCACCTTAATGTCAGAGGTTATACTGCCAGATAAGTTTTTGTACAACTTTTTTGGGGCATTTGT